CGCAGAGCAAGAGGAGAAAGGTCAGATAATCCTAGCTCACAGGATACAAAAAACCCCTCCACTTCCACTGAAAGGAAAATCCAAAGCTTGTTTCTCTGAAACAATAAGACTCATTTGTCCCAGATGAATGGCTGGAAAGGTATAGGAGAGAAGGGCATTTCCCATCTTCAGCCTAAATGTTCCAGCTCTGCTGATGCTGCAGAATTTACCCAAGGAGGAATCAGTTACAGCTAACACAGTCACCTCAGGGGCAGTTTGGAAGTAGTCATCCATCAGAGTGGGCTGAAATACAGCTAAGATTTAACAAAAACACATGGCAGACACTTCCAAACATCAACAAGGAATTTTACGGAGCATTAGCAATGGACATATCTGTTCACCTTGATCTTAGATTTGCAGGATTAGATCAAGTAAAGCATGTAAAAGATCTTCTCATAAATTTGGAGTCTGGATTTTTTGCTGCAGCAGTGTAGTACCGGAAAGGAAAACACTCTCTGTGAGGAAGCCTGAAGCTGGTGTTCATTCACCTTGTGAGTACAGCTTGCTGTCTAATAACTGAATGGAAAGGGGAGGGGACATTGAATCTGGTTCATCTACTTTATGAATGACTGTAAACAAAATATTGGTTTATAACCATAACAAAATATGAAACAAGAAAATTTAATTTTCACCTGTGAAAGCTTTATTGGCAAACTACTCCACATCTTGCAACTCTTTTAAGAGAATGATGAGAGAGCATAAGGAAGGCTCTCTTAGCTTTCAGATTACTATTGCAAAAGCATAACCTGCGACTTCATTTTCAGTTGGTAGTTTAAGATCACCCAATCTTTGCCCTCAACCTCACCCACAAGCCAACTTGTTGCAACAACCACCACGTGTGAGGAGAGGTTTTGAGATGAGTGGGTGGAAATCAACGTAGCAGGAACATTTGTGATTTTGTTGTTGTGTCAGATACCACCCACAACCCGTCCTTGGAGCACAAACCTTCACCACTACCACCAATATCTTTGGCAACAGCTTTTGAAAATACTGCAAATTGACCTTAGACAGTTTGAAAAACTGCTAGGTTTTGTATATATGCTAAAAGTATGTTTCTTGGTTTTGCTAACAGAATACATAATATTAAAATCTGGGGTCAAGTTAAGGCATTTCTGTATCTGTAGCTCCTTTTAGATATCTTTGAGAGAAGTGTTTTGTCCTGAGCACCATTCACAGTAGCAATTGTGTGTGTATTCATATAGCTTTTATAAACTAAAACAGAAAATATCAAAGCACCAAAAATAATGATGGAGGATGTCAATGAGTTAATAGTCAGGGACACAGCTCCTGGACAAGCGTGACCACAAGTAAATCTTGGATTTGTTGTTTTCTTCTATACCTTCTGAGATGGTGATTTGCCCTGCACAGCAGAACAGATTTTAGCCTTTCTTTTTCGCTTACTAGAGGATTTGCAGAGCAGGAAAAGAAGATTACAATTCCTCTCAGCAGAAAGTAATCCTTTTAAGTTAGGTATGTCAGCATTCATTGAGAAGTGTGGGAAAGTGCATGCTACTTAAAATGCTTGACAGGTCTCAGAGAAGCGTGGTGGCAGGAAGATGGGAGCAAAGCCCCCAGTTGTGATTACAATGGCCCCCAAATTAGAGACTGTTAGAGGGGGCAGTGAAAACAGAGTTCAGGAGCAAGGATTAATTTTAATGTTTATTGAGCTTGGTAAATTCACAGCAGTAAAGTTCAAAATTATAACCTAGAACGGTATCTGTTCATTTGAAACTCATGGTAAACAAATTTTCTGTTTACAAGGTCACTTCAGAGATGGTGGTTCTGTCCTGTAATTTTACTGTGCATCAGGATGTTAGTGGTGTGTTACTGAGTATCCCATAAACTGATGGAGCTGCTATACCTGATACATATTCTGAGCAGCTCATAATTCCTTCAGTACGCATTTGATCTGTTTGGAAAGTTATAGTCTTATTATAATAATCATACTTAGCCCAAGACAGAACTCATTGTTATGAATTTCATTGTACAGTTTATGAGTTTGAAAACTTGGATTAAGGCATTATCAGCAATGCTCTCATGAGATGATGAGCAAGGTCAGAAACTATTCTGGACCCAGTAATTGCAAAATAATTCAGGCTTAATATGTAAGGCTGAAGTTAAAGAGTACCCAGAATTCAGCTGAACCTCATCTGAGCAGCTGATGAGATCCTACTGACAAGGCAATAACACAAAAACTGTTGGGCAGTAGAAAAATGAACTTTGAAGTAATATGAAAAGAGGTAAAGAAAATGGCCAGGAATTCAGTGATGGAAAGTCCACACTGACATGTGTTTGCGATACAGCTGCAAAAAAATGAAAGTAACAAAATTTAAAAAAATCCAAACCCACACTTCTAATAGAGCAACATAAAGAGCAACAACTGACAAGAAGAGCTTGGAAATGCTGAGGAGAATGATTGTGAAAGTATAAAATGAAGTGTAAATTTAATAGAAAAAAAAAGAGAAACAAAGCAACAAATTGCATAAAATAGCTGAAGATATCAGGCAGCTCATAATGTATCTGTAACAGCATAATAGCTGCACATCTCTATTGTGAGAGAATGCAATTTTATTCACTCTAATTTAGCACAGGACAGTCAACACAGTCATTTCAAATCTGTTGTTCGCAATCCAAGATAGCTTCTTGACAGCTTTTAACAAACGAAGTGCTTCATAATGTAGACTGTTAGGGACAAGCGAAAGAACCAAACCCAGGGTCAGCAGTGGAATACATAAAATGCAAGTCTTTCAGGAATGTATCGCACAAGAGATCTTTATTCTTTTGTATTTTAAGAAGTCCACATTTCAATTTTGCTGATATTATACATAATTCCTGCATTTTGTCTTCTACTGAATTCCCTCCTCCCCACCTCATGCTCAAAGCTTCTTATTTCCTCAGCCTGAGTGACAACTGCAGGTGCTTCTATAGTGGATATTGCAATGCAAACCAGTATTTAAATGGCCTGCTTTGGCTAAAGGGTTCTTTGTTTGCATGTAACAACTCTCCTCGAATTCTCTCTTAACAAATACTCTCCATATGATTGGAATATAAAGGCTTGGAAGTACTTAAATGGGAAGTCCACCATGTGTTACACTGAGGATCAGATACCATGGTACACGGAGACGCTCTTCCACTTTTAAGGGTGGCTATTCAGAGAATGGCAAAAGACAACACTTTCTCATCTGTCCTTCACTTTCCAACAAAAATGTTCCTTTTCTCTTTTATTTTAAGTCAATAATTACAGTAGAGTATTTAAAAGACCTAGTCAGACCTGGGAACTCATTGCAGTAGGCAGACTGCACAGCACATTTTGAAGCGCTCCCCTAAATGAACACATATATATAACTTTTAATTCTACGTTATCCAGAAGGTATTTAAATAGTCAAAACAATCTAAATTTATTATTAGCATGCTAATTCACAATCGAGTTTGAAGGCAAGCTACAGAGTAGCACAGTTGATTCCTCTGATTTGATTTTATCAATTAAAAGCAATAAAGGCAGTTATCAGGAGTTTATTTCTGCCAGATTACGTAGGCAAGTGAATTTCTTGCTGTTCTGGTCCAACTATCCAGACTAGAGGGCTTGTGGAAGATCACCCATCTGCTGCTAGACAGAAACCTGGGTGTGAAACAAACCCTCAGACCTTATCCTGTCTTCAATTGCTCTCCTATTTCTGGAAGGGTCTGGAGCACGAGCCTGATGAGGACCGGCTGAGGGAACTGGGCTTGTTTAGACAGGAGAAAAGGAGGCTCAGGGGAGACCTGATTGCTCTCTGAAGCTACCCAAAAGGAGGTTGTAGCAGGGTGGGGGTCGGTCTCTTCTCACAAGGAAAAAGCCATAGGAGAAGACGAAATGGCCTCAGATTCTGCCAGGGAGGTTTAGATTGCATATTAGGAAAAATTTCTTCCCTTAGAGAGGGATCAGGCTTTGGAACAGACTGCCGAGGGAAGTGGTGGAATCACATCTCCGAAAGTGTTCAAAAATAGTGTGGATGTGGCACTTGGGGCCATGGATTGGTGATCATGCGTGCTGGGTTAATGGTTGGATTTGATAATCTTAGAGGTCTTTTCCAACCCTCACGATTCTAAAGCTACATCATCTGCATTCTCCCTCTTTTTAGAGGTTTTCAAGAGGCTTACACTTCTCGCTTGTACTAAATTACAGTTTAAATTACTGGGAGGATGAAAGCCTATTTATTCCCCCAAGGCAAAGACCGCTCCTTTCAGACTAACTGCGACGCGTGTGTATGACAGAACGGACGATGCCGGGTGCCACGGGGGGAGCGCCTGCACCACCCAGGGCTCCGCAGCAGCATCCAGACGACACTTCCCCGTCCCCAGTCAGGCTACACAAGGTGCCCCGTCCCCATCCCGCCTTTCCCGCCGCCGCGGGCGGGCTCCACCCGCCACCGCCCCCCGCTCCTCCTCTCCTCCGTCCCTTCCTCCTCCCGCGGCAGCGCGGGCGGCCATGGCGCCGGGAGGGGCCGGCGGCGGGCGGGGGGCGGCGGCGGCCGCGACCCGCGGCCACGGTGAGGCGGCCCGCGGCTGCGCGGAGCGGGCGGCAGGTCGGGGGGGGGAAGGGAGCCGGCCCGGCACGTTTCCGCCTTCCCGGGACAGCGGCGGCCTTTGGTCCGCTGACGCGGCGCGGGGGTCGAGGCGCTGCCCCTCAGCACCCGGACCGGGGCGGGCATCAGCGGGCAGGCCCCCGGCCCCCCGCGCCGCCCCCGCCCGCTGCTCGCCGGTCCCGACGGCGCGGCAGCCGCGGTCCCGCGGGGCGCGCTCACGTGGCGCGACGGCTCCGGCTCGTAAAAGGCTGCGGCGGCTCTAATAAGGCTGATGTGGAGGAGCTCTGTTAATTAGTTAGTCTCTGTGAGCCTGGGGATGCCACTTTAGAAATAGCTAATTAGTATATTTATTTTTAATTCTGGCCGCTTTTTTGTTGGTGGTGTTGAAACACCGCGATGCCACCGCAAACACGCATGTAAGTATTGGTGAGGCTGGAGGGTTCGGGACAAACACAGGCGTGGTTCCGCTGGCTGCGGTCTGGTCCGAGCCTGGCGCGTTCTTGGGTGCGTCAGGCTGGTGTGCGCTTCACATCTTAGGAGGAGGCGTAGCTATGGATTCACAGAATAGTTTGGGTTGGGAGGGACCTCATCTAATCAGCCCCCCCGCCCTCGAATGAGTTGCTCTGAGCAACTAGATCAGCTTGCTCAGACCTCTATCCAACCTGACGTTGAATGTTTCCAGGGATGGGGCATCCACCAGCTCTCTAGACAACCTGTTCCAGTGTTTTACTGTTCTCCTTATATGTAATCTAAATTGACTTCCCTTCAGTCATGGTGAGCTTCCCAGGTGGTGGGAAGGAGTTAGGGGAAAGTCAGAATCTCAGCTCTTGATGATGGAAAGTTAGGGCTTTATATGGGTTTCTGTGGGACTAGAGTGTACTAGAGAGCCTCGGAACATAGGACCTCTGCCCTGTCAAAGACTTTGTAAACCTTCTGCCTGTGTATGACCTCAGGCCCCTCATTGTCAATGTGAAGATAAGAGGCTATAAAACAGTTTGGGAAAAACCTGGTTGACAATAGAAGCAAATAGCACTTCACTTCTCACCTCGGGTGCTGGAACAAGAGGTTCTTACCATCTGCTAGTCACCTTTCTAGTGCAGAGCTTAAAGGCTGCACATGTTTCTTTTAAGGCTTAGCAAAGGACCCAGTCTGTTTTTGGTGCTTTCCTGTTTCTCATGGGAGTTCATTCTTGTCTGAGTGCAGCCTTGTGCTGGCTCTGCCTCGTCTTTGTGATACAATGGTGAGCAGTGAGTTCAGCTCTGCCTGGGCCAGAAGGATATGGTGGCAAAGGTTTCCTTGTCCCTGAAGTCACATACTGTCTGATGACAGGCACATTAACTTGTATGTGCCCCCATTGAAAACAATTGCTAAAGAAGTCAACAGTACAAAGTTGTTTTGAATCACAATACCTGCAGTTCCATTTCCGTCCCAGAGTCAAATTTACCAAGTCCTTGCACAGCAGTTTCAGTACACAGAACTTGTTAAAGGGAGGCTGGCTGACAAAGCACTTGCACCCAAAAAAACTGGACACCAATAATTGAGACACAGAGCAGGGATGTGTAGTATGCCTGTGGTATTGTGCAAAAGCGTTTTCCTTGGAACGCCAGGGCTTGGAAAGTAATTAGGCACCACCATAGATGAAAAGGATGCTCTTGAATTATGCAAAATTAATTCAGAAATAGCTGTTACAACTGTTTGAATCGATGAGAGATTAGATAGTACAAAGGAACAGATAGTAGCAGTTGACAGTGTTTGAACTGTGTTCATATGACAGCATGCTGATATTCACAGTATTATCAGCGTTTTTGAAAAGTAGGAAATAGTTTTTAGGCAGGTATTGCCTTTGGACGGTGGCATTTTAAATGGCTCACCATATGATTATGATAGTTGGAAGTTCCTTACTTTAGGATAACGTAGCTTGATAGGCATTATCTTATCAGTTTAAATAAGGCAACATAGAAACCCTACTCCACTGTTCTGACTATAGCAGAATTTACTTGGATTTAGCAGTAGGTTGTCTGAGGTGAAATTGCCAGAACTTTTTTGGGGGCACCATGGAAGTCCCAGGAGTTACTGCTGTGACAGATTTACAGGCTCAGGCATAATCCATCTTCACCTTCACTGGAATCACATTATGTCTGCAAAGATCATAAAAGTGGGTGATGACTGCTCATTCTATCACTTCTTCCTTTTTTTTTTCTGAACACTCGCTTGCCTTTCAACCTCCTGCCACTTGTGCCAGGAGTATATTTCACTGTCCAGAAAGTTTCAGGGGTTTGTGGTCTAATGCTGTTGAGAAATTGTGAAGATCATCTAGGATCTTCCTTGCCTTCCTAAATTTCATTGTTGCCCTTGAGTCGCAGGCTGGTTATGGTGTTGACAGTCCTGTTGACTGTGCATCCAGTTGTGTGATTTTTTTGTGCTGTGGAAGGCAAAGGGACTCTTTGCCTTCCACATCTTTCACGCATTTGTATGATGCCTAAAATTAAACTTTTGCAATGCTGTTCGCCTTTATGACTTCAGTTTTGGTTTACTGGTTTGGCACCTATTGACATTTTGGCTGGGGCCCTCTATTCTTGTAGTGCTGCTCAGAATTGTCAACCTTGGAATGCTTCCCTGTTCGGTTGTTATTTTGGGGTATGAGCCAAATCCAGTGCCTGTAACCCTTAGGTGGCATGCCTTGAGCTTGCCTCCATACTGAACCTGGGACAACTTAAGAGGCTTTCCAATGCATGTTGAAGGTGTGACTTTGCACAGAGTTGGTTTGTGTGAGCATCTGTTTGGGGTTAGACTGGAATTATTTCAGTTTGACTAAATTTGAACATGGTTGAAATTGTCTGTCCTCTGCTCTAAATAGGAATACATTGTGCAAACTTGAATAAGGGAACACAGCCCAACTGATGGGTTTTTTTTGTGGTAGGAGCAAAAATAAGAGAATTACAGCTAGCCCTACTTTCTCATAGTGTATGTTCTTCTGATACATCACTGTCAGAGAAGAATGTGTTAGTGTCACAATCGACAAGGAAAGTGTTGCATACAAATAATTCTTAAAAAACTCAAATACGTTAGTCAGTGGCGTAGAAATAGCTGATGCTTCCCACAAAATCCGTGAATGTGCATGCAGGCAAGCGTTCTCCTTGCAGCCTACAGAAGGGCAAGTTGCATGTTTTCTGGCTTTGGTATCAGGAAAGTTGCTTTTTCACTTGAAACATGAGAATTCTTCCTGTTGATGTGGAAAGTAAAAAAACTCACCTCAGGCTTGTCTTTTTTTCATTGCCTAACAAGACAGGTGGAATTCATGGGAATAGTGCTTGGAAAAATGTTCTTGTGACAGCTGGGGACCTCAGGTGCCTTCCTTTTCCAATCACTCGTGATTGAAACAGATCTGACAACCCTCCTGGCCTCATTTTCTGTCTCTGTCAGCCTTGGCCCTTGGTGACAGCCCTGCCAGCCTCCACAGGCACACATGAACTGCCTACTCATGGTTCTGTGGGAATGGTAACTCCGCGCAGTCCAAGACATCTGAGTGTGCTCCTGGATGTACTGGTGGTATTTTGTCAAATTTGGAGAAGGGAGAACTGAGAGATGGGGATGTCTTGAACTTTGGACTTCTGCTGAAAAAACATAGGATTGATTATTCTGGCAGTTTCTGGATTGTGTGCTGTTTGTAGCTGGGAAGGTTTGTTTTTGAAAAGTACCTTTTGGGAGTTTTAAACAATTAACTGTGTTTTATGTGCAAAAATAAATGAGTTCAGTAGGTATGAAATCTCCTATTAGAAATAAAACTGACTTTTTCAGCAGCTGTGAATTATTTCCAGCTTTTGCTAGACTTTTGGTATTTATCCGTTGTAGCGTGTATCTTTAAAAGACATTACTTCTCACATCTGCAACATTGCAGCAGACCATTGTATCTGAACGTGTGGTCTGTTCATGTTGAAATATTTTCCCTGAGCAAACTTGGAACGTTCATCACCTCTTTGCCTTCTTGCCTTTTTGTGGGATTTAATGGCAAAAATGTTCTGTGTCATCCAGGTGTTTAGAATAGATAAATATTTTGACATTTGTGTTTAGGCATATATGTATTTACTTTCTTTGTGTATACTAATTTGTTGACAAAGTTAAAATCCTAGGCTCTGATGCTGATTGAAAATCAGTTTCAGAATGTAGTTGAAAAGTTATTTCTGTACTGAAAGTTAAAAATGAAAATACCAGTGGCTTCCAGGACTACACAATAAATGGCAGCAAACAAACCCATCATGGCAGAGATGTTTGGTGCATGCTTGTCTTTGATGTCAGTCTGCTGATGGCAGTGGACTTCTGCTGGGAATAAACTTGACTTGTGATTTTGGGTGTAGAAATACAGGATTTCAGCTGTGGAAATAGTGTTGATAAGCAAGCTTCATGGTGAGGATGCTCTTTTTAGACTTCTGAAGTGTGCCCACCTTGTATGCATCAGGTTTGTCTATTATTACCTTAAGCTCTTTTGGTAAAATGGGGACTCATCAATAACTGAATGAGATTCTTCGTAGGCAGGCTATGGGGAGCAAGTCACAAATTAAAACTTTGAAGTTCTGCAGTAAGTTACTTAAATCAATACTAGTACCTTAGTACTTGGGAATGCATAAAAGATTAAAAAAAAAGTCTTCTACAGGGAAAGAGTTTATGTTTTTTTTGGATCAAAATCAGTAATTACACCCCCATAATGACTCCTCTGGTGCAGATGCAGAAGCAATAGATGAAGAAGAAGAAATTAGGCATACAGTAATCACAGCAGTGGCTAACTCAGCTGTACATTAGCAGAAGAACTAATGCAGTGGCTCCTGGAAGCAATTTATTCATAGCAGCGAGGCGCATAGCTCCTAGTATGTTTTTCCATTAAAATGCATAATGCTTCATTTTTAACACTTCTCTGTTCTGAGTGAATTCCATCACAGCAGTGGATTCTGGCTGTTGGCTGTAGGAGGTGGGGGTGAGGAAGTATCCAAAGGGGTTCAAGTATGGACAGCATGACTTCAGCAGAATAAAACTGGGCCCATGTTCCCACGTTACTGTAGCTTATTTCGGAGAGTGATACTTTGGTCAAGTTACTGCTTGTTCTTGTAATGGAGGTGGAACTTATTTCAGCAACATTATTTTTGGAGAATGAGCCTCCTTTGGGTCCTTCACCTTGGCACAACTAAATTTTAAAAAAGATAAAAGAATAATAAAAAGTAATCCTTATATGGGGGCCTCTATGAGCAACCTTCGTTGTCTGTGACCGTGGAAAAGGGCAGACCGCTCTTGATTTTGAACTTCATCTCAGTGATGTTCTGTTGAACATTCAGGGCTGGAGAAAAACTCCTTTAGATGAGGAACTGTCCTCTCACCATGTATTTTTATGTCTGAGAAGTACTTTCCCATGGAGTTAAACACCCTACCTATCGCATCCCCTTTCTCGCCCCAGATCTTGAGTTTCTATTTAGGGATTAAAACAGTCTATACAGAATTTTCCTGGAGTTTGGCTAAATGAGGTACAGTTTACACATAGCATATTTTGTGATACAAATTTGTACTTGCACGGGAGTACAAAAATAAGTTGTACTGTTGCCAGTTTGAGTCTTCCTGTTAAGCTGGCACATCTGACTCTTATCTTCTGTCTTGTTTTGAATCAGAAACAGATACCCAAGGATGTGGCCAACATTTTTAATGCCCCCAGCGGCAATGAAGATTTTCCAGGGTTCCAAGATGATGCTTCCGGACAGAACTTGTTGTCAGAGAACAGCTATGCTAGTTTTGATTCCCTGGAGTCTGGAAAAAAGGTAGGAATGGATTGCCATGGTCCAGTTATGGCCTTTGGGTGCAGTAGTACTCTGAGCCTGTGTCAAAGCTGTGTGAACCCTAACTCACACAACAACTCATAATTTGCAGTTCTCATATTAAAAATAAATGTAAACAAACTTGCTATCCTTTTAGGATTTAATGATGGTTTTTGAAAACATAATAATATGAAAAAGAAAATGGGTTTCATTAGAAGGTGAGTTTAAGTGAAATTGGAAAGATAGAATTACTGTTGTGCTCTGGATACCTAAGGCAGTGGAAATGCATGATACTGGATGGCCATTTGTGAGTATGCAGACTTCAAGGTATTTCTTCCAGAAATTTATCTCAGTGCTGTTTCTGTACTAAATCATGTTTTAATAGGGGTGAGCCACAGAAACCATCAGCTTCTGCTGTGATAGTGTGATTTGCTGGTTCTCTGCTCTCTTGATGGTGAAGGAGCTTGGATCAGCGCAATGATTTGATATTTTTCCTTCTCTGATTTCGTAGCTGGAGGTAGCAACTGAATTCACAAGAAAGGAATACAACTGGTGTGCTGTCTTGGCTGCACAAAAATTTAGTTTTTAGGCTTTTAGGAGCCTATATTTGATAGACATGGGATTAATGTATTACAAGATACCTTTGTTGTTTGTACTCTCAAAAAGGTTCCTCTGTTTGATTAATAAGAAAATTAAAAATGCCTTTTCTTTTCCTAGTCCATCAGGTCAGTACTTGGTTAAGAGGTGCTGATGGCAGGGAAGATGATTAGTGTTAGCAAATGAAACAGACAGAACAAGGCTTGTAGGAGTATGTGCTGTTTCTGGACCTTTATAGACAAATGATGTAAGGAGAGTGCAGAAACCTTTTGGGGGTAGAGCCAGTGTCTTTGTGTACGGAGAAAGATGATGGCTAAAATGTAGTGAAATATACTGGGTCTAAATTGGTTTGTAATTTTGTTGCTAGACAGCAGTACTGATAACTTCATAAAACCGGGAGGTAGCTTACTCTTGTATTTGTGGCTTTGTGTGGAGCATCAAAAGGGATCACTGGGGAGAGGTGGTGGTGGAGGGGAAGCCTTGTGTGGGAGACTGAGCTTCTGCTGCCTGCTTGGGGACTGCAGACAGCTTACTTTACTTCTCTCTCCTTTGGTTTCTCAACTTGTGAAATGAAGATTATGATAACGGTCGTTGCTGAAAAAGCATTTTAAAATCCTCTGATGAAAAATGCTACTGCTACTTTAACATGTGTTACTGAGAATCCCACTGAGACTTGTTCCAAATTTCCAGCTGGCACTGCAACCTCCTTCTTCACCATGCCTGTGTTTCCCTTGGGCTGAGAATTACTTTAAATGTCCATCAGTGTTGAGTTTAACTCCTTTACCTCTAAATGCTATAATAAAAACATCCTGAGTTCCATCCAATTGCAACATAATCTGCAGTCCTTCTGCATCAGGGCCCTTCATCAGGATGAGCATCATCTGGAGTTTATGATGCTAAACACCACTGTTGCTGCAAAAGACTATAGGTACCTGTGCAGGAAACAAAAAGGTTTTGGTGTGAGGGGCAAAATGATGGGAAGTTCAGAAAAATTCTGCCATTATTGGGAGAGGAGGCAAGGTAGCTGCCCTGCTGAGGCGATGAATGGAATGTCAGTGCATCAGGTGTTCTCTTGGATCTGGTGCATAAATGAGTTAACAAGTAATGACCTCTGTGTGCCTGCTTTTCCTCAGAGCTTTCTGAAGTCCTACTCCCATAATCTCTGCATTTCTGCTGAGCTTCCACCATTTCTTCTATAGGTATCCCTGATATGTATTTTATAGACAGTTCTTCATAGATGCAACAGCATAGCTCTACATGTGTTATTTTTAGTTACTTTAGCTAACAAACAGCATATTCCCCCCCCCCCAAACTTCATTGTGGAATTTCATGAAAACACAGAATGCATAAAAACATCAGTTTCCCTTCAAGAAATGTAATTCAACTTTTAAGTAACTTCCCTATTGTGTTTGTTCCTTTCTCAAGCAGCTGCACTGCAGCTATCAACATCAAAAGAATGAAGTAATTTTGCTCAGAGAAAACTCATTCCAATTACCCATAATAATTTGTAGATGTTTTAAGTGTAAAGAAAGAGCATATGCAGTAGCACCCCACCCCCCTCCCGCCCAGTCCCCTCTAAGTTTTTCACCAGATACTAATGTAAAGAAGTGTGTAATTAAAGTCTGGGAAGGGAGGGAATTGAAAGAAAGAATAAAGATATTTATCAAGTGCATTGTATTAAAGGTAATTTCTGTTTTTCATGTGGGAGGAAGAAATAGCAGAGGAAAATTGGGGAAACAAACTTATATGTTTCTGACTTTCAAGGGGCAGGTGTGGTGTGAACATGTGAACAAATCTTTTGGGAGACTAACAGAGAAGTTGACAAGATGGTCTTCTACTAGTTCTGACTGGAAGTATGGAAATACATTTCTGATTTAGTAAAAATATTGTGTTTAACTGGTATGTAATGTGCATATCGTGAAGAGTGTTTTAATAAGATCTTTTTACTTCCTGGTCTGTAGGCAGAGATTTAGGATCTGTCTGCCCTAGAACATGTGTGAATAATAAAGTGCACCAAAAACAGAGAGTTGAGCAGTTGAAAGGTGGAGGGATGTTAGTCAGGTTGTTTGAAGCTCTGTGGATTTGTGTTGGTATCTGGCAGTTCAGTGACGGTGTAACAGTGTGAGGAGGAGCAGACTCCCATCTCCAGGAGCCTGTACTGCTGCAGCAAGCCTAGAGGAGGTAGTTGTTTTACTGCAATGTCAAAAAAGGAGGGCTCTTTCTTTCTGTAATTGTGGTTTGTATCTTCTTTTATTCAAGGCCGGGTTTTTTACATGCAGAAGAAAACATGCAAAACAACATGATAATTTACTCCTAAGACAACTGATAGTTTATTTTTTGGGGTTAGTAATGAAAAAGGGGAGGAAGAGATGAAGAAGAAAGTTTCCCCCACAAGAAGCAGCTCAGTTAAAGCCCTGGGCTCAAAATGAGGGGAAAAAAAAATCTTTCAGGGTTAAAATAACTCAATGCTGAAACTGAATATTGTCTTCTTTTTTAGTTTTGACAGGCTCTGCCTGCTAAGTGCTTTCACAGTTATATGCCATTGAATTGGTACTGGCTTGAACCTCAAAACTGGTTTACTGTGGCTGTGTGACTACTCTGTATCTGTCTCTCACAGCTACTGGCTGGTATTTTTGCAGGGAGGCCGATTTCAGTCCAGATACCTCACTGAAGAGCTGCGGAGGATTTTCACTGAAGACACAGACTCTGAAACAGAAACATTTGAAGGCTTTGCTTCAAATGAGGTGCATGTGAACAAGAAAGAAGTTCTGGTAAAGGCAGTCACACCTACATGTCAATGTATATGTTGACTTCTTTGTTCCTGTCTCTTCTGTGTAAACCTCCTGTTCTAGTAGGAATTTTTCTGATAACACTGTGATGTTCTTTCTTCATCCTGAATTTAAATGTGTTACCTTAAAAGAGATTTATTTAATGTAGCATCACATATTAGAAATGAGAACTTCTTCCCCTGCTTGCAGACTGCCTGTGCTAGGCAAGATTCTTCCTCTGGAGACAGCCATGTCTGTATCCCAGACTATATTAATATGTAGATTTTGTATTGATCTCTGCACAGGAAGAAGTCGCGTACCATGAACTTTTAAAAATTTGTTGATTTAGGTGAATTTATGATGCTGTCTTTGGGTGCTGAGACTGCTGTCTAAAACTAGTGATTTAAAAATTACTTTTATTGTGTCACAGCCAGTAATGTAACATGGGATTCTTCCTGCCTCTAGACGGTGGAGTCAGACCTGAGTGATGAAGAATGCCCTAATTTATTGGGTAATGAGGAAGAAAAGGAGGAAGTTTCCCCCAAGAGAAGAAGCTTTGGCCTTCGCGTTGCTTTGCAGTTTCCCACCAGAAAGTCATCTGAGAAGAAAGTGCCTGAACAGTCTTTGTCTGACTTACCTGTAAAGGACAGTGAATCGCTCACACCTCTTTCAAGAGAAATAAACTGCAAGTGGTCAGACAAACTAGAGGGCTCCACTTCAGAGTCTGAAGAAGACATTAAAGAAACACAGGAGGAAACTTCCAGTGCAATGATTAAGAGAGCCATAAATATAAAAGAAAATAAAGCCATGGTAAGACTGAAGAGTGCTGTTTTGTTCTCTGACGTTTACATGCAATTACTTAGCTTCAGCATATTTGATTTTTGGGGTCCCTGTTGGTACTATGCTGGGAAAATCTTACGGTGAATTTTTCTACCTGGGAAAACCCTACAGGTCTTTCAGCACTCAGACATTTACCTCTAAAATAGCCTCAAGTAGGACTAAGCTGGTCAAGTTCAAAACCAGAGCTGAACCAAGCATTTTTAATGAGGATGTGAACAAAGTTACAGATGCCCAAGTTTTGTGGCCTTATATTCAGAACATGTCAGAAAAACAGCTGATCCCTTCAGGTGTTTCGTGGTGTCATTTGCACAATAGATTTTCTGCTTTTTGTTAGTGCACAACAGATCTACTGCAGTTATTGATTGGAAAACCAGGTAGAAACTGCTAAGGATCATAAATGTAATTTTTGCACTGCTGTGGTAATGTACCTCCAGGACATCTACCTAGTGCAAAAGACCATCCTGCTGAAGTGCTTCTGATGCTGCATGTGCTGTGGTTACAGAACTGCCAGTGGGGCTCAGTTGCTTTATGACAGAGAGTGTACCCATGTGTCTGGTTATATCTGCACTGCTTAAGGGGACACTGAGTTCTCTGACAAAAAGCACAGGTCTTTCAACAGTCATTCAGTAAAACAGTCCACAGGGAACATCTTACTGTCTTCTGCCAAGGGCACCCTGTCTTTCTTTCTTCCCTCTCTCCTGTCATATGAACTGAATTTCTTGCTATTGGTCATGGGTGTCATTATCATGTTGTATTGTGTTCCCTTAGTGCTGTTTCAACAAGATTTTATGTAATTCTGTCTAATTCTAGTTCCTAGTAACAATTAGTGGGAGTTATGAAGTTAGCACTGCTAGATTGCAGAGTTTTGCTCATTCAGGAGTAAATGAACCCCTTTTGTGAGCTCCATTTAAATAAAGTGTCTCCAGAAAGTTTCATGCACTGAAAGTTCATATGTTTAGATATAATTTGAAGTGCATGTGAAGAGTGGATAGTAGGTGTTGCTTGTTTGCAAGTTGCAGAGAGCTTTTAATGTGACATCACTTGATTTCAGCTTGCTCAGCTACTGGCAGAATTGAATTCCATACCAGACCTGTTCCCAGTGAAAACACCCACCTCAACTCCTTCGGTAAGTTTTCGGTACTGACTAGTGGTGACAATTGTTTTTGTTAGACTTAGGATTAAAGTGTTTAATCAGAAACTTTGACCAAGTTTGTTCTGGTTTTCTTTAAGTTTGGATACTTTATTTGTATAGATTTGCTATTGGTCAGGAAGTATTAGAGATTATGTGAGGAAATGGAATTTTATAAATTAATTTATGAAGAAATAAGAAAACTGAGATGAGATGCTACTTTATATTTTTTGCCCTAGAAATACTATTGAGATGGTAGACATATGTCTGTGTATGTGGGAACAGAGAAGAATAGTTGCTTTCCTTTGGATTTAGATTCTGTTCATTTCCCTCTTGCAGGCTTTTCTTCTAAAGTCCACAGTTCCCAGTAGAGCAATGCTCATGAAATTGAAACATGTCAACACAAACTGGAATGAGACTGTAGTTGTTTCAACTGCCTTTTCTCGACTTTAGGCAGAGGATTGTCAATCCCTCCTAGTTCTCTTTAGTGTTTTTCCACATGTATTATAAACAGAAGAGATGTGAGGAAAAACTGAAGAGCCATGTCTTTGGAAGGCCCATTTAGAAATGCTGGTATGGTGATTATTAAGTGAAAAGATGAAGCCAAGTTAAACAGAATTTGAAAGGCTGGATCACCTTGCTAGCTTTAGTTAAATGTTGTAAAAAACATACTTTAAATACGTACACAAGCCTGCTACTTTAATTTAGTACCTTTAATGGAGGAAAGGAGAGGGCACAAGAAGTATTCTAGTTACCTCATCTGCTTGATTTTTGACTTCCAACCTGTCTCCTTGTAATGTGTCTTTCACTTCTTTGAAAGAAAATGTAAGTGTATGGTAGCAAGCAGACTTGCTTTCTACATCTTCTTTATACTGTCAGATTTAGTAGCTGCCTTATGGTAGATGCCCAGGCAGGACTTATGGTACATGAATTCAGTCATGCAGTAATTGGCAGGTGTGACAATATCAGGAGGATATCTTTCACCTCTAAAGAATTTCCAAGTTTTAGGAATCATGAACCATGAGAAGCAGCTTAATAATGCCCTTTCAATTTAAAAAGTTTAAAAGAAAATAAACTAGAATTTGGATTGTTCCTCAAAGGTGTATTCAGATTGTGGGAAAATCTGAGCATTTAGCTACCAAAGAACAGTAAGAACTAGCTTCTACCTTAATATGACAAGATGTTAAATTTTTGGTGTAGTTCTATGACATTAATTGGAATAGAATTTGACCTGAAGGTGTGGTGTTTTAAAAGGAGCAGAAGGTTATAGTCTGTAGGGAGAATACTTAAGAATGCTAGAAATTGGTGAGGTTTGGCTTAACAATTAAGGAGTGGGAGAACAACAGATTAATTTATGATACTACAAGTGTGGTACAGACATTTTCAGATCGTTTCTAGTGTTTAATGCTACGAATAACTGAAAGGACAGTTACTGGAATTTTCTTCCCCTTCTAGAAACAGAAGAAAACCCCAAGGAGGACATTTTCTGAAGGCCAGATAGCACGTCGAATGAACCCAACCAGAAATGCTCGTCCACCAGAAAAATTTGCCTTGGAAAAATTTACTGTGTCGGCTGTCAAATTTGCAGAACATATCCGTAGCTATAGGCAACAAAACCTCTTGAAGAGACTCAGTGTGGTATTTGCCAGACTTTGATATCTCCAGTAGTCAGGAATTAGGAAACATTTAAATTGTTGGCCAGCACTTAGACCAGACATCGCATCTTACAGAAAGTTATTGAGAATCTTTGGTTGGGATTAGCTACAGAAAAAGTTATCTCCAGGCCTTTCTGCCTCATCTTTCACCTGTTAAGTGGGCTCTGCTTGTGACCTGTGTTGTCCAAGCGTAACAAAGCAGTTTACTTACAGTCTGTTATTTATTCATTATCTGAAAATTCCTAGCCCTTATAAGGAAGACTCTTTTAAGTGTGCATCCACACAGACTGGATACCAGTTCTGCTTGTAGGAAAGAGTGCTGGGCATAGCTGAAGCATTATAGAGGGAACTTGGCTATTAGAAAAAGTGGAGTAGCACTGAATGAGAACCTGAGCAGGCAAATGACTGTTTTGGGCAGAACAGAGGCAATCTTAGAGTGAAGAGACAGGTATGGGGAAGGCTAAGAATCAGATAAGATTTATCCATGAATAGGGGTCAAAGAGAAGGATATTTGGAATGAAAAAAGAGCATTTAATAGTGAGTGGAGTACTCTCCTCCAAATAACAAAGAGGGGATAGTAAGAAAGGGAGGCCTGGGTATGCAGGGCTAACCTAAAACTTCAGTAGAGGGTTTTTGCAGGGCATTAGACATTGTCATTGGAGAAAGCAATCAGAGAGTATGCAAGGAGATTGAAGGAGGAAAGCACGGGAAGGCATATGATCATAGTTTCTTATTTTGAGAGGGAAGAAATGGAGTATGAAGGGTTACAGTGGAGGAGTGCAGGGAATGCAAAGAAAAAAAGTTAGCAGAAGTCATGTCAGGGATTTATGGAAGTAGAAGTAGTAATGATGGAAAGGAAGAACATTGAAACAGAATTAATAAAAAAGGTAGTAGAGAAAAAGTTAGGGAGGAGAGGGAAAGAGGCAGTGATAATTTGGAAACTATTACCTGTTCTTCCAGTGGTGCCTGTAGTCTGCCCACTCTGGACTGCGTACACATTAAAAATGAAAGAATTTGTTACCAAGTTTGGTGACAGAGTCTTCGTGACATCAGACAAAAGGTATTGAGATGAGTTTGTTTAGCAGGGGGATTGTGGAGTGCGCAAAAGAAGGAGGTCATCAAAGTACTCGTCTCATCGTCCAGTAGAAGATATTACTGAAGAGGACTTGGACAACATTGCAGTCACTGTTAGAGACAAAATCTATGACAAAGTTCTAGTAAGTGGCTGCTGTATTCTTCAGTTTGTCTGTCTGCTTGAAATTAAAAGTCTTTCAGTAGTTCACTGGAGTTTGCTGAAAGGTGTGCTTTCCTGAGGTTCTGGAGAGAGTGCAGCTCATCATTATTATTTTATGCAAGCACGACCTTGAAAGCTTTGTCAGGCTTGACTGTGCTGGTTGATACACCCCACCAGCTTTTTGCCTCTGGAGAGAAGTGCTTTCTTGCCACAGAGCTATTAAATAAAATTTGCTATAGCTCTGACTCACCACTGAGAAGAGCTGGCATCCTTTTTATCTCTCATTCTCAATATAAATGTTGTGTTGGTTGTACCATTAAATAATAGTGATCCCTGATGTTCCTTGTACCCCCTGGAAATTACATTTCTGTACAGGTTGGGTAGTTTCCAAAGTTCTTGATGGAACTCCTTCCTTTCTTTCACTGGATTTGGCTATTGATTGTCATAAAGATCAACTTACTATGTATTTCATTGTATTGGCAGAGATGAGTCACAGGGTCATTTTCTGAATAGTTCTAGCTTTTTCTTAGGTAGAAGAAAGGATCAGAACTGCAACATGAGGCTCATGTAATTTGAGACTTCCAGCGCAACTAACTGAAGCTGGATGCTGTCTCTGTAAAATTCCTACCATTGCTATATGATTTATCATAATAATAGAACTTACTAAGATTTTCATTGCTGAATTTGACTTCGGTTTGAAATTTGTGCTTATTATTAGGAAAGTTTGTCATGGAGCATTTAAGATGTCCTAGGATGTTTCTCCTCCTTTCCACTTTTAGGGTAGTACTTGCCACCAGTGTCGACAAAAGACAACAGATACAAAGACAATCTGTCGCAACCAGGGCTGTGGAGGAGTAAGAGGGCAGTTTTGTGGACCGTGTCTTCGAAATCGATACGGTGAAGATGTGAAATCAGCTCTGCTTGATCCAGTAAGTATCATTTTTTGGGCTTGGAACAAAAGTATAATGAACAATATATGCTCATGGTAACATGTGTTTAAACTTCTTTGCCATGAGAAGATCTGTAGTACTGTTATGACTGACACTGATTTTGTTTAGAACTCAAGTGGAAAGTGCTGGACCTGGGTTACCAGCCACCTGTCTTTGTGCTTTGAAGCTCCGCTTGCTTATCAGATGGTGAAGGGCAAGTGTGAGAGCTTTTAAGAAATGGAATCCGTCCACTTTCAGAAAAATGCCAAAACAGACACATTTTTTTAATGCTCTCAGTAACGTGGCATGCAAAGCAGGCTCCTTGTTTTTGATTCCATTGTTTAAAAATGAGAAAAAAAGAGAAGGACCCTAAAAGTCTTAGGGTTGATTCCCTTTTCTTTGTTGTCCCCTGAGACACTGAGCAAGGAGAGAGCACAGGCTGCTGCCAGAGAATGAGGCACGTGGATACACAAAGAACCTCTTAGCAGAACAGAGTGCTTGGCTTGTTCTGAGACCTCCTCTCCTCCACCTCTGTTTTAGAGATGAGCTGCTGGGCTGTTCTGAAGGTCAGCAGAAGACTAATGGCTCTGAGGTGCTGGCAGTGGCTGCTGTATTAGCACTTGTGCTTCTGTGTGCAGTTGCTGAGCAGCTTGGAGATGCCTGACTCATGTAAGAGCTGGGTATTCAATTCCAGGAATCGTGCTATACCAGCAGGCAGAGCCAAAGAAACTTGTCACAATGGGTACCCATCTTCTTCTAGGGAGTTGACTACAGTCAGCCTAGCACAGAATGAATTATCATTAGGCATTACAGATGACTTCAGTCTATCTGAAAATCAATACTGAGCACATTAGAGAACCTGAGGCTTCAGAGTAAGCGTTAAAGCATTTAATGATTTCTTTAATCATGCAGAATTTGGAAATTGTTAACAAGGTTGACTGCCTGGCTGATAGAGGCTTTTAAAACCTTGCCCTGAGCAGTCACATGGTAGGGAAGCCATACTTATGTTTGTCTGAGCAACGGGAAGGCCAATATAACCTTGCTCATTACTTGCTTTTATCCCCTGTCCCACATTCATGCCCTTGCAGGCCTGGATCTGTCCTCCTTGTCGTGGGGTGTGCAACTGCAGCTACTGCCGCCGGCGGGACGGGCGCTGTGCCACCGGCATGCTCATCCACCTGGCCAAGTTCTACGGTTACAACAATGTCAAGGAGTACCTGGAAAGGTGAGGGTCATGCTCTGTAGTCATTCCTTATTAAACTGTTGTAGCCCCTTAAATAACACTTGACTTCTTGTGCCCTGGGGCAGATCCTCCACCTATGCAAATGAAGTCTCTTGGACTTCAGAATTTTTCCTAGGCTGAAATCGGCTTCTTTGAAGTGAGTCATACTGTCTGTGTAAACAACTGTTTTGCTTAAGAAATTGAAATGCTTTTGCCTATTTTGAAATCCCTACTGGTTCCTTGAAGCATATAGAAGTGCTGTTTTGGAAGTTGTCATCTTCAGTAATGGAAACTGTTGTTTATGGGGAACCTGAGTTTCCTAAAAAGCACTAACATTGTTTTCTCATGTCTCCTAGTTTACAAAAACAACTGGCGGATGACAATTGACAACACTGAGCTCAAGATGTGCCTCCAACTGGTTAATATGTTGAAAAATTTTGACTTCAAAAGTTTATTACTCCGTTTTATATAAGATAGAATTGTTGTGTATAGTACATTAATTTTTGTGTTGGGAACTTTTTGATTGATATGGTCTTATGCAAAAGATCTCTCAGGAAAATGTTTTGGTAGAGAAATCTACATGCACAGACCTATAGGTTAAGTGAAATGGCACTCTTGAACCTTGAGTGGTTAATTTTTAATAGAGCTACCCAAGCACGTGATAGAGAACTTGATCAGTTTGAGCAATATTTTTATTTATATAATTGTGCAAGTTTGCAGAAAGGATGTTTAACAACTACCTTCAAAGCATCCATATCTTTAAAGAAACAAAACACCCTTGTCTACCAACTTGACCTTAAAGATTCAGTTTTCCAACCCTTGCTTTCTGAACCTGTTAATCCACCTGTAGTTTATGGAACTTGTCCCTGCAAAGAAGGAAAGTGTACTTTCATTTGATGCCATTATATTCCAACCAAAGCTGATGCAATCGACCAGTGGGAGGATGATTGTTTTTTTTATTTTATTTCAAAGTGCAATTATTCACAGAAACATGAAACTAGAAGAGTATTTCTTTAAAAATATAAAATAAAATTTTAAAAATTTTAAACATCATCCCAGTAAAACCAGCAGTTTTTGTGTAGTGCATCTGCTGCCTGAACCATCTGGTCTAAATCAGAGTTCAGGATTAATTTTTTTTTTGCTTACAGTTCATACTTAAAGGTTTTTTTCATTTGTACAACCAGGCTTTTGAACAACTTTGTTTAAATGCAACATGCTTGTACTGCATGTTAAAATATGTTAAAATTCTTGTAAGATACATGTTTCATTTTATGTAGAGAGAATAAAGACTAATCTAAAGAGGAGTATTTTGTGAGTCAAACTACACCCAGATGCTAATGTTTCCCATTTACTTTCCCGTAGCTGTTGTAATGGTGCTTGCAGATCAATAATCATTATGTGGAGAAACACATGAACACAACACTGATGGATGAGGAAATAACAACATAGAGCACATAAGTGTTACACTAAGGATTGTGTTTTTGTGAGGCAAATCTCCTGGTCCAGCTGACTTTGAAAAATGTTTATCTTCTTTTACTACAAGGCAGATAGAGAAAGCAGCATGTATTATTGAAAGGTTAGTACTAAACTGCCAAGAGTAAAGCTATTCCTGCCAGAACCCATTTACCTGACTTCTTGATTTTCAGATTGAAAGTCCAAACATAAGCTGGCCCTCTGCTTTTGATTTTATAAACTGGACATTCATAAACATTATCAGTTTCCCTTTGATCCACTGGAATTGCCCTTAAAAAATATTGGCATTGCTAAGTCGTTGAACTGCACTTCAGGAATCGGCCCCAGCTTGATGTCCAGCCTGGTGCCTGCAATAAACAGCACGTGGTTTACATAGTGTTCTGTAGTGCAAGACCGGAATAATTTGGGTTTTAACAGTGGCTAAACAGATAAAGCTACATTTGAACATGCAGATTTAGTGTGGACTGTTGTTGTCCAGTTGTGCATCATCTCTTTGTATGAATGCAGAGATCAGTACGTAGCATCTGCCTGGACTGGACTTGTGGTTTCATCAACATGCCCTCTTATTGAAAGCAGGGACTGGAAACTATTTACAGTTGGGACTTAAAATATGAATGTTCCTGCCAAAGTCAAATTCTCAGATTTTCCCCTACTCCTCCACTAGTTTATGGTGAATTCTCCACCAAAGGGTGGAGAACTATGCTGGAGCACTTAGCCTGTATTTGTAGTGTGAGATATCAAACAGGTACTTTGGTGTAGTTAAAACAGATGAGTTCTGTGCTGCTGAAGGGCCATGCACTTTCTGAAAGCTGCTGGATTTAAGTTTGTTGTGTGTTCTTCTAACATAAACTAGCATATAAAATGTTGCATATGCTTGTTGTGGATTTTAGGAGGATTTATGTGACAGGAAACTATATATGCAAATACCATCACAAACACAAACTTCAGTCACAAGGTTCCACGATACTTCCCTCATATCCAGAGGAGGAATATACAGTATTACCCTTGGATTGACAAATGCTTTAAAAAAAATCCTCTGAAAAATGCATGTCACCATTTCAAAAAGCAACAGTCAAATGACATCTTTGTCATTGCTCCACTCTCCCACCCTGACTTGCCCCTTGGGGCTTCTGTAGTAGCAACTCTCTTCCAAAAGTGTTGCTTTCCTTTTATTATATGTGGGTCTGGTGAAGAGTACAAATAACAATGATGTTTCTTTAATTGCCTCTGGGAGTCATTCACCTTTCCTTTAATGAACTGTAACTTAGTTTACAGCTTTTCAAAGTTAAAACTAAAATCTCATTTTGATGACAGGCCTGAATTGGCATTCCTAAATGAGATGCTTCAGTCTCAGGAAAACACAGATTCAAAAAAACAAGGTATGATGTTTATCCTCTGAAAGTTGTTAAAAGAGGGGTTGCAGCTCAAAAGATGAACATGATTTCCATTCAGAGACAGCCTACAACCATATTACACCTACTGCAATAACTGACTGCTTGAAAATCCAGATGAAAAAAAGTTTCTTTTAATTCTTACACTTTGCCCACCTACTTGTGTCATTATATCTCATGCTAATACAGGGATTTTCAAGTACTTCCTTGCTTCTTGGTATATCTCCCCAAAGGCTTATAAGTATTATGGCATAGCAAATAAAAAAAATCAGAGTTCTTTAGATCTGTTTATTTACAACTGTCAACTGTTTGCCAAGGTGGAAGAAAAAAAAAACAGGAGAAAGACAATTTTTGTGGGTTTTTTTTTAATTATTATTTGTTTGGGGTCTTTATTTGTTTGGCTTTTTTGTTTGAGTAACGGCATACTGCAGCATAGATTGCCATGAGGTATCAGAGGAATTTCCAAAAACACTGCCTGGTTTATCCATGTCTAGCCACCTGCAAGCGGCTGTTGCTGGTGGCAGGCTAGGGGAAAAGGAATCCTGCAAGACGCTGAACACCCCTAGTACTTGGGACAAAGGGTGGTGATGGAGCCTTCAGCAAAGTGCTTGGCATTTCTACAAAACCCACTTCAAAGGAAAACTGACTTTCATTAGGAAAAATTTTGGAAAAAAAAGAATAAAGCTGCTGGAATAGCTCTGTGCTTAGTAGCTAAACCCTGTCACTGTAGGGTACTTACCAGGGGTAAAGCATTATGTGGAAGGAATATGCTAGTTTAGTCCATGTGTTTGGCAAAACATCACAGAAGAGTGTAGATTGCAGCACTTCCATGTGAGGAGAAAATATCAGCTCCCCCTTTGTCTGCAAAAAAATAAAAAGCATACTGACACCATAAAGAATAGCTATTCTTTCATTTCCAAAAAAAGCAAAAAAAGCCCCAAAATGCACAGAAGAGCAACAGTACTGTTAATAAAAAAGTCATTCGCCTTCATATTGAGGTCCAGCTACAGATCTCTGAAAGGACAAGGTTTCCTCCTCCTATACTCTTGAAGGCAAACAAGGGCACAGGGGCTCCAGTCTTCTGCATGACATTAAATTTCTCAAGAAGTATCTCCAGAATATCATCCAGGACATTCTTTAACTTGTCCAGGACAATACAACAGTGCCATTAGAAATCCCAGCAGTCAACTCTTTTTGTGTCTTCTACTTTCAAGTCTGATTTCTTTTTCCAGGAGAGTGCAAACATCTCATTTTCTTAGATAAAAACCAGTGATGCTCCCTCCCTCACCTTTGCTGTCTTTTTGGCAACAGTACTGAGATAAATGACTGCAAAACAATTAACACTTAGCAGCTTCTATTTAGCTTTACATTTTCAAGTAATATTGACCCCTGAAGCCCACTAACACATTGTTCCAGACTTGGGATGACTGCTGTTAGTAGGATGTACCCTGAAATTGCCTTGATTTTTCAGCTGAGTGTGATTGGAGGTTTGTACTTCTCTAGTACCTAATAGCTTCCTTCACCCTCTCCACCACCCACAGTCCTTCCTGTCCCAGGCATTAGGCAAAATACAGTGCAGGCACAGGCACACGCGTCTCACCCCCCAAAAGAGCCTCTCTCCCTCCCTGCAGGCCTGCTCTGTAACTGAGACAGAACATAAATGAAGAACAATTCATAACAGTACTAATGAGCAGGAATTGAAATCACAGCATTAATGCAGCTCAGCCTCTGTTTCAGTCCTAGCTTTGGCAGAATTAATGAATGCCATATATAATAGTCCAGACTCCCTAAAGTGGATGGGAACTGAATGTGAAAAGCACAAACTTCCCCCAGCAGATGAAGTACTGTTTGGCCACTTGCAAGAAGAGCTGTCACACTCCCTCCTGCAAAGCCTCCATGATCTGATACTGATAAGAGAAAAAAAAAGAGTGCCTAGAGGAAAAGAGGGGAGTAAAGAAAGGGACTGAGAAATGCAGAAGAGTGGGAGTCACAGGAGACTTTAATTAACTGTGGTAAGGATGAGGAGCTCAAGGCTCTGTCTCATCATATGGTATGTTTTGAGGCTTCTGGACATAGTTTCTCAGACCTACACTCAGAAAGGAAGTTGCAGAAGACAGCAAGGTCTGAAACAGAACTAGCTGAGATTTCTGATTACATTTTCCTTCCCTGCTCATGTGTTATTCATTTAATCTCTTAAGTACAGCACCAGTGATGTTCCATGAACAGAACTACAGTGCCCCAGTTAACTCCATATTAAATGATGAAGCTTAGCCTTCTATTAGGGTTGGTCCCTTTAACCTAGCATCTGATAGCTTATAGATGTTAATGATATTGTTCTGCTAAACTCCAGGTTCTGTACAAGAGAGGTGCTAAGGCTAAGAGATGGTCAAACAGCCTCCTTGGCCAGATTTCACCTCTTCAGACTACCAGTAAACTAAAACTCCCTGAAAACCTCCTCAGCTGCTGCTCAGAAGGGAAGTCTCTATGAGCAGCCACATGGCTCCTAATCAGATCAAGGGCCCAGAAAGGGAAGTGGTGGGAGAACACTGTGCTTGGGCTGCCCTTCCTGACATGGAGACCGTGCATGTCGCTGCTTGGCTGTGCTGTCAATGTGGCAGAAGGAATCCAGGACTCCAGGCTGGGAGGGACTTCCTATGCTTGGTACAAGTGGGAAGGAGCAGGAAAGCTACTCAAAGGGGATTTATCATGCAGGAGATGAAAACAAAGGACAGAGGTGAAGACTAGACCCACCAATTCAACCAACCGTGCCTTTTTTTTAGTAAGTTATTGCTGCTGTACTTGTTTATAAAAGCATACAAAAAAAAAGTAAGATAGATCCATACCTTGTTTCTCACCCCACAAGTAATTCAAAGTTAAAAAGAAATGAACTGCATAACAGGTTAGATGTTCCTCTAGTCCAAATATCTTTGGTCCAAATTCCTTCCTAGTGCAGTACCTTGGCCAGGCTGGTGCATTATCATCACTAGTATTAACACTCATTTAATCTTTTCTAATTTGATGCATCATTTTCCCCCCAGAAATTAGGTCTCTTGCTGAAATAACACAGTCAGATGTGTGCTCCACATGTCATTAAAGCACTGACAACACACCAGATTAAGAACTTCACATCTTTCTCTGCAGACTAGCCTGATCCCTCTCCTACAAGTGTATCCATAGGTTGCATTTTTGAAAGAGTTTTGAAGAAATTATCTGATATTGTTGTCAAGAATCTCATCTCAGCATCGGAGTGCAGTCTATATAGTACAGGGCTTTCAGAATTTAATCTATGTATTTATGGTATCCATCACAATCCAGCTTTGGTGGGGCCAAGAAACCTAGTGCCGGTTCCCCTTCAGGCTGCAGAAAAGAATCAATAATGTTATTGATAATTCTGAGACCAGTTCTTGAAATATTCTTCTGTATCTGCAAAATTTCTGAGATTTGCTTGGAGTCTGTGGACATGATGCCTGTATGTTCTGATACAATGGAACAGGGTTACCAAAGTATTTTTAGCATAGTTACTATTTGCATAATTTCCCGACAGTCCCATTTTCTACAGTGTTAAAATACTGTTGCTTCTTCCTTCATGAGGATGCTCTGAGTTTGTTTTAAGGACTGTCACTACTGAGGTGAGTGTATTTTAAGTACTGAATGTCTGCATCCCTGCAGCAGACCAGCAAGGATTATTATGCCATTTTGCAGATGAGAGTCTGAGGCAGGAGAAAGTCACACAGGACACCTGTGGGAGAGGCAGGACTGGAGTCTCAACTCACCTCAACCCTGTTGTGTGTTAACATGAGCCACAACATTAGTTCTATTTAGTCTGTCATTAATTAGGGACTTTGCACAAACACACTGCACTCATAATAACCTTAAAGTGGTCAAAGGGACAGACAGGT